GAAGTTAATTGGAAAACTTGGAATTTATAGTTCTCTGAAGTGGCTAGATGTGAGGACCCCCGCCCCAAAATGTCCAGTTTTCTTATTGATAGTAGTAGTGAATTAAAAAACATAACGTAGAAACGAGATTAGATTCAAAATAGCAACAAAAACCATAAAATACCCAGGAACCTACTTAAGAAATGTAACAGTCTTGTGAGAAGAAACCTACAAAAACTACTGGGCAACAAAAAAGAAATTTTTACCTAATCGAGAGTAAAATAAAACTGCCTCGTGTGAAACACCTTAAACAAAATTATAGATTAATATATGAGGAAAAGCCAAGAAATAAATGGCTTAATAGCCTTTATGTGTAAAATGATCATACAGATTAATAACCCCTGTGGTTGTCAGCATATTAGAAAGTGGTAGCTATGAAATAAAACACTCAGATAAGTTAAAAGTACTGTTTTTTCCTGTCTTAGGACCATAATATTCATTCCTTTGCATGGCTGGCTCCTATCCTGTAAGGCCCAGTGTATAGAGCCACCTCATGAGGCCTTTTTCAACTGCAGCCGGTGCTTGAATAATCTTTCATGATAAGGTTGATGAGATGCCATAGGAACTAAACTTGTTGATATCAGTTAGGCTATGGTAAAATTGGTTAGATACGTGTCGTTTTGCTTACAGTCACAGAACCTAATGGCATTAGGTGAGGACTTAACTGTACTCAATACAGTTATTCCCTGTGTCTTGGCACCCTGGTGATTTCCTCCTTTGCATTTAACCTTTCAGAATTACGTATTTGATTACTTTCTTCACTGTCTTTCTCCTTTACTGGACTCTGAGCTCTCAGGGGAAAAAGAATAGTATTTGGCATCTGGAAAGTGTTCAATAAATAATTGTTGAATGAATAGACAGAATGAATAAAAGAGAAGTGAGTGACATGAATAAAATGAGATACCATTTTTGAAATCCTGATTGCTGAAATTTTTGAAGAAATACTCTCAAAAACAATCCCATATACCATTGCAACCAAAAAAATAAGATACCTGGGAATAAACTTAAACAAGGAGGTAAAAGACCTGTACTTGGAAAACTATAGGACACTGAAAAAGGAAATAGAGGAAGACACAAAAAAGTGGAGGCATATACTGTGTTCATGGATTGGAAGAATTAACATCATTAAAATGCCCATTCTACCCAGAGCAATCAGCGCAATCCCTATTAAAATACCAATGGCTTATTTCACAGATCTACATCAAACATCCCCCAAATTTATGTAGAACCATAAAAGACCCTGAGTAGACACAGCAATCTTGAGAAAGAAGAACAAAGTTGGAGAGATCACAAAACTGGATATCAAACTATACTACAAAGCCATTGTAATCAAAACAGCCTGGTACTGACATGAGAACAGGCATATAGACCTAAAGAACAGAGCAGAAACCCCAAAAATTGACCCATGCCAATCATTATGGCCAGTATTTGGCAAAGGTGGTAAGAGCATGAAATAGAGTAAAGACAGTCTCTTCGATAAATGGTGCTGGGAAAATTGGACAGGTACATGCAAAAAAAATGAACCTAGATCACCAACTTACACCATACACAAGAATAAAAAAATGGATAAAAGACTTAAATGTAAGTTGCAAAACCATAAAAATCCTAGAAGAAAACATAGGCAGTAAAATCTCAGACATCTCATGTAGCAGTATCTTCATCATTACATGGCCTATGGCAAGGGAAACGAAGGAAAAAATTTATGAATGGGACTACACCAAACTAAAAAGGTTCTGCACAGCAGAGGACCTTGCCTCGGGTCGTGGAGTAGTAAACCAGCTGAAAGTGGTCGGATGTCCTTTTGATAACCTTCACCGATTCAGCCCCTCCCTGCCTCGCTGTCCTCCTCACCCCCACTGTGCAGCCTTGCTTGCAGTAGGAGGTGTATTTATTTATTTATTACTTTCTTATCCTCACCCTAGGATATGCTTTTATTTCTTTTTAGAGAGGAAGAGAGAGGGAGGGAGACCAACATCGATGTGAGAGAGAAACATGGGTTGGTTGCCTCTCATATGTGCCCCGACCCAGGATCAAACCTGCAACCTGGACATGTGCCCTGACTGGGAAGCGAACCTGTATCCTTCAGTGCACAGGACAACGCTCCAACCGAGTCACACCACCTAGGGCTCCTTTTCTTTTTTTAAAATTGATTTTAGAGAGCAGAAGAGAGGGAAAGAAACATTAATTTGTTGTTCCACTAATTCATATATTCATATGTTCCCTGCCTGGGGATCAAACCCACAACCTGGGCATATGGGAGGACATTAACCAACTGAGCTCCCTGGTCAGGGCAAGGTGTATTTATGTGGGTCACTATCAAACTTTGAAAGCTATTTGTTCCAGCCAAATACCAGTTAATAGTGCCTCAGACTTCTCTTACGTTGCATCATTCTTAAATGGGGGAAAGATTTATGAACAGAGATTTAGGTTTAATATATTGCAAAATTTGAACCATGAGACATCAGGAGAGTGGCTAAATAAATCACGATGTCCTATTCTTTCAGGTTATTTGTCCAAGATAGTATCCTCTTATCTTTTTTCAGTATAATTAGGGTTTGCAGTGAAGGTCCAGAGGTTAGCAGTAGCTTCCTTAGTTCTTTGTAGAGTCAGTGGAGCCTTAAGGAATAATTAGTGTACCATAATATGCTGGTAACAGCACAGAGGAGTCAGATTCAAGCCCCAGTTCTATGACAGCCTTGGGCAGGGTACTTACTCCTTTGTCTCTGTTTGCTCATCTATAAAATGGAGCTAATAGAGCATAATTATAGTAAGGTTACCCTGAGTAGAAAATACGATAATGAATGCAAAGTACTCAACTGCTTGCTTGGCTCCCAGTAAGTAAATTCAAGGCTGTTTTGTCTTTTACATTGTTGATTCTCTCTGTATCTTAGTTCTTCCTCCAGCTCACATTTCAGTTAATGTCAGATACGTCTTCAGGAGATAACAAAAACTTCTAGTTCAAGAGTTTGAGACAGTTAAGTGAGAAAACAGTAATTGTGCAAAGTACTGCACACATTCGTGGTGGTATTAATTCCAGTAGTGGCGATAATAGGAAACCTGTTTGCATTGCACATGATCTGATTAATAACTGTGTCCAAATGAGATTCAGCAGTTGATTGTGATGGGAATAAATGGATACTTTCAGTTCTCTAAAAGTGCCAACCAACCTCTTTTCTGCCTTTGGACCTTTGCAGTTATTCCTTTTACCTGGAATGTTCTCCCTGTCCCCACCCCACATGCCTACATAGTTTTTCCTTATCAGCTAAAATAATGCCACTTTAGAAAGGCCTTCCCTGACCATCCGGTCTAAGTAGCTTCTAGTTAATTGTTTAAAAATCACTTTTAAAAATCACATTAATTTCTACGTGCATCTTGATTTTGTTTTCTGTTTTCCCCCTCTCCAACTAGGATGTAAGCCTTGAAGAGCAGGGACCTTGCCTGTGTCGTTTATTATTATTTTTTCTGAATGTTTGAATATAATGTAAAGTATGAAAACTTATCCATAATTGTACTTCCCAGAGATAAATAACTATTGTTGATATTCTGTTATGTGGTTTTCTAATTTTATTTTGTCTATACATGATTACATATTTACAGATGTCTGTGATTATGCATTTATACTACATTGAGTCTAAAGATGAACATTGTTTTACTATATTTTATGCCTGAAATTGGGATGTCATATAACCCAGGGCATGCCATCATTGAATTGGCAGGATCTTTCTTTCTCGGTGGCACATAAAATGAGGGTGTGTCTTAAAAATCTATAGCATCTTTCCCGGCCGGGCGTGGCTCAGCGGTTGAGCGTCGACCTAGGATCCAGGCGATCAGGGTT